CTGCTTCAAAAGAAACAACTGGAGGTAAGCTAACAAAGTAGAAAGCTGGAGTAACCAAGGGGTTAAAGATACAGTTTACACTTGGGAATTCTCTATAATATGCTCCTCCTTCCCTTGCAGCTGCCAAAAATCACATGACAGGAAACATAAGATTAAGTTTGTCCCACCTAAGTGAACAAAGAGTGCTCAGAACAGGCAATCAGTTCACTGTAGAGCAAGAACTTTTCTAATTCTGCTGGAATCTGCAGTGCTACTCAGAAAATATTACTGAAGTTGTTTTCTTTACTTTTACATCTTGCTTCTAGATCATCTCATTCATTTTGGTCACACTGCAGTTCTTGTTGCTTCTCTCATAAAGGTTAACTTCAAGCTCCAAACATAATCATGTGGAAAATGGACATTATTGATTCCTATGGTCCATTGTTCCCCCATTCTAAGTCCCTGAAGTTCAAGTTCAATCTGGAATTACATCATGTCTGGTTTCTCCTGGTTACCAGACGGCTTGAGACGTGACCACAGCTACAGAAAAAACAAACAGCCTTCTTCACGCTTCGGCTCCCCTATCGATTCAAACATAAACTTTTTTTCTTTCTCTCAAGTACGCTTCAAGTATGGAGCATGGTTAATTTAGAGATTAAGTTCCAAATTAGATTATCTAATGGCATTTTAATGGATTACTGACCCATTTCCTGTGGGATGGCAGCATGCAAGTCTGGCTTGAATACAACTAATTTCTTAGGAAGTGTTTGGAACATATTTGCCTAGATGGAGAGGAAACATAATGTTCTGCACATCTTTCTGCATTATGGAGTTGGGTAAAACTATTAGAGTTAGTAATTTAAATTTATAAAGATCAGAAATCATTAGATTTTTCTCTCCATGAATATTATTACAATCAGGATACTTCAGCCTTTTTTTTTCTGAAATCGTAATGGATTGATACTTCTATTCCATAATGAATTGATACTTCTATTCCAAAACATTGCCAGGGTAATGGGGACAGGAGGGAGAGATGAGGGAGGGGCAGGGGTCAGAGTATATGAACCACTGCTCTAACAGGTGTCTGTGTTTGCCAAAAAGTGCTTGCCACAGCAATGCTCCTGACTGTGTTCCTTTAGCTATGTGTTTGCTGGATATCAAACATGCACAAGGTGGTGGGCTGCAAAAGCAATCTGCACCTATTCTCACTTCCTCTCTGACTTCTTTCACAAATCAGATTATCCCATTGGATTGCTTTATCAGCATTGTTACCATAAACACAGAGTGGTGCTGGGGGCGGGGAGGGAATGATGCTTGGAATGCTGAACACTCCTACAACCAGAGTTGAGAAGGAAATTTAGCACTCTGAGAACAGAGCTCCCCTCAGCATCTCCAGCAACAAACCAGCTGTTGTATTGTGATGATGTGTGAAGATAACAGAACACAAGCAGGAAATGCTAGCCTAGTCCATTTGCCTGGATACTGTAAAGGTAAAGTAACAGTTAACCCACAAAACTAACACAGAATGATTCTTAAAAGAATTCATATAAATAAAAACACATTTGTCAATAGCTGAGTTAAAATGTACACTTTGTCAATGAAAAGCTGCTTACAGTCTCCAAATACTCCACATGCTCTAAAAGAGGCCGACCATGCCAGCTTTTCTGAGTATTTATACCGGAAATATAACTAATAGTGTAATAGTGGCTTAGATTCAGGATCAAACTCATTATCAGACTCATACACACACTTTTTGTCACTCTCACTCATGTTTCAAGTGTACTTTTTGCAAACACTCTTGCCCTCACGTAGTGACAGAGGCTGTGTTTTCCAAAATGAGCCTTATAGATTTTCACAGCTTCCCTCTGCCTTATGTCTCCAGGAACACAAGTATTATCACAGAACTGCAGTTACCAAAAAAAAGAAAGGTTTGGGGTTTTTTAATGGTTCTGGGTATCTTCTTTACATTTACACCCAAAATTGGCCTAGATTATCTTAAAAGTACTGGTGAACTTAATTCTATGGATGTGTTTAAATATTTTTCAAAGTTCATCAGAAATAATAAAATATATTTACAAATAAATACAAAAACACATATATGTATAAGAAAAAATATATAAAGGTGTAATATGTACAATTAATGCTCTAAGTAAACCACAAAAACCCAAAACAAAACAAAAGTGTGGATGGTTAGGTTATCAGGAGCAAAATAAAAACTACTACTTTCAAATACCTTATCAAGTAACTGAGGGTCTTTTTGGTTTTTTTTTTTTTTCTTTTGGATGCTCACAGGATTTTTAATATATTTCCTTTAAAGATACTAGAATGTTTAGTTCAGGTAAGCAAAGTATTAATCTAGTTTTTTTTATCACTATTCCTTGCAAGTCTTCTGGTTTTGTAAAACATGGTGTTCATCAATGACTAAAAAGTTTTGTGGCTTGGTGTTGGGTTTTTGTCTTGTATTATTCATATTCTCTTCTTTTTTTGCAAAATTCAGTTCCTTTGCGCACAGACCACTACCATCTTACACCTGAGTCTTTAAATGCCTGCAGATACATAATTTTATAAGGAAACAAAATCCCAGAAAATATATTTTGAAATCTATGTATCATATTTTGAAATCTATGCATTAGATCTACCATCAGGTATGACAGGCAACTATTAATAAGACAAAGAACACAGAAACAACAGAAGTTTTTTCATCATTCTCTCTCTCCACGTTTTCAAAGTGTGGTTCACCAAAAATGCTTCATGACAAAGCTTTCAGCTTGACCATGTTTGCTCCCTGATCTCTTTAGAGACAGAGCAGTTAACACTGAAGAACTGCCAACTTTTTTACCTTCTTGAGGTCACTAATATTTCAGAAAAATCAGTATACTTAAAATAACCACAAAAGCCTGATGTAAGAGGTCAGATTAAGCACTATCAAAATGAGCACTGCAGATCTGAGGAAATCACATAATCAAACATAATCAAAGCATTTGGGGTTGTGGAAACTTGTCTGGACTAGGATATATTTCTTTGCCAACATGTGACAATTCATTTTGCAGTACATTCTCTCTCTTTTTTTTAGTGTTAGTTTTGGTGTTAGAAAGTCTCACTGCTCCTTCGCCTGTGCAAGTATAATTTCTCCTCTTAGATTCTCACCCCTGTGGAATTTAAGGAATGTTGTATTCCAAAACCCAAATCCTAAAAGCAATCTGCTAAGAGAGAACTGTTCGTTTCCTTGTCCCTCAAGGCTGTGCTTAATCCAAGAGCAAGTAACATAGCCAAGGCCTCTAAGGAAATGCCTATGGCAGAGTTCGTGCCCAAGCTCTTCTGGCAGCGCTTCTGTACGTTCTTCAGGCCAAAGTGGCAGGCAGCATTCCGGGAGTGACCTGCAAGGCAGTTTTTTTTATAACATTGAGCAGATCATGGAGCGTGCCTGCATTCACCACCAAGGTTTTCATGGTCACTGCTAGAAATATTTTCCCCTGCCTTTCCTTTCTTTTTACAATTTACGCCCATGGTCTTGTATGATGGGTACTGAAGAGCAGAATTCAGCAAACAGCAGGACAGTGCTTCAGCCACTATAACTGGCACTACTTTAAAGAGGGTTCGAGTGATGACTGATTAAAACCATTCAAGGGTATTCCTAGATAGGCTGTTGTGATGTAATTTCCTAACGGCTGTCAGTGCCCTGAAAAAGCAACACCCTTTGTAGTGGGAGAATAAATCAACCCTCTCTGTGCTATACTAGTTCAGTTTGGATTCATTCCTGGCCGTATATTGAAAACAATTACTGCATGATGGGGATCTATAATGTGAATCATAGCCCTTGAGGAGTGAGGTGAATCCATTAGCTAAATTTCCATTCTGCTATTTAATCTACAAAGACAGAAATGACATGGCCTTATTTTTACACTACAATTCTTACAGATTTAAAACATTATTACAGAAAAAATTGGAAAAAAAATTTAAACTTCAGATTTTGTAAACACCATTTTCAAATTCAGTAATTGCCCTTCCAAGTTGATTCTCAAAAGCCCCAAAACTTCTTACAATCCATAGTACTATACAGTGTATCAAAAAGCATTTTGCACACAATATATATACACAACTACACTCACACACACTCTTACACAAACTATTCAGAAATATATATATTTTCATGGACACACAAATTTCCAGAAAGTATTTAAAATTATTTCAAGAGTGACTGGCTTCATCTGACAGGCTCCCAACCCCCCAGCCTGTTTTACAGGTACAACTCCCATTAAGTGTTGAGTGCTGCAGATAATCCTGCACATGAAAAAGACGAAAACAGATGTATCAAAATTATGCTGATTTGTTTATACACCTATTTAGACACAAACACACCCCCATCCTCTTCTGTTACCATAATTCCTTATATACCAAGAGGTGTAAAATATTACAGTTTAATAATATAACAAAGGTTAATGGGGTTTATCGCTTGTTTTATTTGTGGAGCTTTTTTCATATAAAAAACTCCTCTTTTTTGTGTAAAACATCCCTAATTATTCTGTTATTTAGTTGACAAATAAGATTGTTTATAGCTTACCTTCATGTTCATTTTAGTGACCTACATCTACACCAGTCAATTACTCAGAAAAGTCTCTATGGATAATATAGTTATTCATTGCCCAAAACAACCACCACCTCAGCCATTTATTTTTATACTCATCTACACCTCTAACAGTACTATTTTCTTTGTGTTAACACTGAGGCCCCAAAATATGACTGGAAATGACATTTTTAAACCCTAAAATCAGTATTCCCTTCAATTCACAAACCTGTTGCATTTGACAGCACAACATTATCATTCCAGGTGTTTAACTAAGGTAGTTTCTAAATTCAGCTTTTACATGAAGAATAACCTGAATGTGTATAGGAGAAATGTTACACACATACTTTGATCAAACGCTGTCACATATACCTCTGGAGACCCACTAACACAGATATCGTAGCTCTATGCAACTTTTTTAGAGGTGGTGTAGGGGTGGAAATAATTAAAATGTTACCTTTGCCAAGTAATTCCCAATGTATCCTCACTGGCACTGGGGTATAAATGCCTGCCGTTTTGATTCATGGTCCAGTCACAAATTCTCAGCTGTCAATTGAAACCTAGCAGTCAGATATGGATCGAGCATACTACAGTTTTTAGTATTTAAATGAATACATGCAAACTAGTACTGTACATGGCAAAAATCTTACCTTCCCAAGAAGTAACTTTAAAAAATAAAAGAATACAAAGAAAAATAACTTATTTTGAGAAATAAATGCCTATAGATTTGCTTAAAATAATGCTACTTTAATATGATCCTTTATTAATAAAGCATAAAAGAGTAACTAGTGTGTAGTACATAACAATTAGGCATTATTAGATTACAAACTGAGCTGGAATAAAAGGAAATGTTAATATTCAATAGTGAGATGATTTGAGAAAGGAAATAAAAATGCTGGGGTTTTTAAGCAATGCTCTATATAACGTGTATTGAGTAAAGGTCAAATACAATCAATATCTTCCAGCATGCATTCTGTAAACCATAGAAGACATGCAATTTATAGAAAATTTGCCAAAATTAAACAAACTGTATGCCCTTATCTTTTTATTTAAGAAGAGTAAAGGTATTATGTAATTAAGGTTTATTAATCTAGTGTTACTGAAAGTGGTATTACTTAGCATGAAGTGATAAAATAACCTAATCTTGCTTTAGACTCAGAAAAGTAGCATTTAAAATATTTTACTGCATTTTAATATAATGAGGAATGTACTAAATGTTAGCTGAAACAAATTCTTCCCAGATCCTCAAATCATCAGTTCTGCTTTCGCAGATTGTTCAAGCAACCATCTACAGCTCTGTTTATTTAACAGCTGCCTGATAGTGTTAGCAGATTTATTGAAAAGATATGTTGCTTATTTTTAAGCTTAAGAAAGTGAACTTATCTGGCTGGTGAATAAAACATACATTTTAACCTCTGTATAGTCATGCTTATATAAATTGCTGTTCCAATATATACGATGCAGCACTCCAAACTGAAGATAATATTGCTAAGTTTAAATGCATTTTATCCATATTCACAGTTTTTAGATAGCACAGGCTACAGCAAACAAACTATAATAAACTGTTTTCACAGGAGCACAATTAATTGCAGTCTTTTCCTGAAAAACACAAATGCTGAGGACAAGACAATATTGCAAACCTGACCCTGTCTGGCTGTTAGAGTCATAAGCTTCCTGCTGTTAAGGTCTGAGAAATGGAAATGTTAGTCTTTGATGTTTTCATAGCAATTGTTTCTTGTTTGTTATCTAAAGAACTCCAAGGGACCTTCTAAAAGCCATTAAAAGCATGACTAAACCACATGAAATTAACCAGAAAAGAAACAGGCGGTCAAAAAGTTTGCTAGAGGTAACTGTGAATATGTTTAAAGAAATGGGTAAGTAAATATTTGATTTAGTCACTATACAAAACAGTGTTCTAAACCTGATTTTCATAGTGAAAACATAGTAAAATATTTCAGCTCAGTTACTCACTGTACAGTAGATGTATTTCTACTATAATCCCTAAAAATGTTATCATCTTCACAACAGATATATATTTTAAAACTTTATAATTTATCTATAAAAACTCACTTCCAGCTGAAACAGAAGACTGAAAGGTTAAACCCACCCATCCACCTTTTTTGTCGTCTTTCACAAAATACAAAATCTATGAGTAAAAGTCAGGCATTAAAAAAATACTAAAATTACAAACTTAGTGTTACCAAATAATTTTATGCACTTAAATCTAACTCAAAAAAACTGGCAAGCACTTAGCTTCCAATAGAACCTAACTGCATTTGCCATTTGGGGGAAAACAGTAAGGGATTGATATATTACATTTTAGTAAATTAGCTTCTGCACCAAATAACTATATTTTTCCTGCAGTCTATAGGAAAATCTTCCACAGGTAAAATTAATGTGTTAAATTTATCATTAAGAAAGCTCCAAGAGGCTTTTTAAACATATTTCATAAAGGTTAGTAATGACATGCTTCTTATTACATAGTAATATGTACTTCAGTGCATATACGCCAAAATACTGCAATGTAATAATAGAACATGTGCATTTTATACATATGCTGTAGACACATACATGCACATGTATATGAAGATCCATGCTACACCAACTATTCACTGCACCAGCTGTGCCACACTTGCAATACTGACAACACCTTGAAGAACTGCAGGTCTACACAACTGGTTTTGTGGCAAGCCCAGGACTGTATCAACTGTACTGAAATATACCTTCCTAATGTTAAAAATTGTTGCTCCACACTCCTCAGTAGGCTCACATAACTGCCACATTATCTTTAGAAACTAACCTGCCTGGAAAACCTTTTGGGTTGTGGGTTTTTTTGTCTCCCTCACATAAAATTTTCTCTCCCAAATTACTCCTGCTGAAAGATCAAGATGTCTAAGATTTAGAAATATACCGTCAAAAGGATATAGAAATATTACTTCCAAAGTCTGCATCAGCATCCTGTGAGTGTGTTGAATGCTTTCGGGGCAAAAAGGCTGGAAAACCTTAAAGAACTGTGTAAGCCTGGGGTCCATTTGATGGAAGAAGAAGTCTGTTCACAGCAGCAGTGGGAACGCTGCCCTTGGAGAGTGTCCAGACAGCCCAGTAGGGAAAGCCTGGGGGCACAGACCTGACATGAGTACCAAGCTTTGGAAGGATGTAGGGCACTTTATTACAGTATTATGAGTGCTGTATATTGTCTGGAATTGTACTGAAAGCTTTCTGTCTAGTTATTGTCCTCAGAGTAACTTAGGTGAACTCTAAAATCATTCCAGCTGGAGATGAGAAGGCACATTCACTCTCAACCACTCTAAGCCATCTAAAAGAGTTACTCTGCAGGACACGTGAAAAGAAGAGGTGGGAAATTTGAATTCCTCGCTAGAGGGACTTAAACAATCCTCAAGAGACATCTAACAAATGCTGAAAACTTTACAAATTTTCTCAGAGATATGATACGAACACAAAATAAATGACCTGATTTGGCATGTGACATCGTGAAAATCTTTCCTAGATGCCTGTTGGACAGTCTTGCCCTTCAGTCTCCAGTTTTGTCTTTTTTTAGGAAGGAAAGCCACAGGAACTTCATTTTAATAACACCTTCCATACACAAAACATTATCAATGATTTTCTCATTTATCTCTCATCTAACCACAAAGGAACAGAGGACGGATCTGTATTCTGAAGTGGGAATGGATGCCCAGACTTGCAGCAGATGAGGAATAATCACATGCCCCAGCAATTTCCTGGTGCATGGCATTGCCCTCATCCCTATGATATGCCCTCCCTACAAGACCCATGAAGCAGCAGAGGTGCACAAAGCCCACTGCAAGCACTTCTCCCAGGAGGCAGTGCAACTCCCTCATTCACCTTCAACCACCTTACAGGAAGGGGCCACAGGCCCAGACAGAAGCAGAGCAGTAGACCAAGTGCTTCTGTTCTGTAAAATGTCAGGAAATTGACTTTGTTTAACACTTTCCAGAGCTGTGAGACTGACGCGAAGTTCTACCCAAGAGCTAGATTTCACTACAGCTGTCTTTACAGCTTAAATGGCACTTTTCAAGCACAACCATCCTGCAGAGTTTTAAGTATGCAAGTCACATTTACATTATAAATCCATAGCCGAAAGCACAATCTTTATTCATAGTATGAATAATTTTTAGGAGTTAGAATGTAAGCAGATTTTTTAGTCTTGTATTTAAAGAGAGGCTGTCCAAGACTAACACTGATTTCAAGCTTCTGTGACAGCTAAGGAAAGTAGATACATATTTTAGAAAGTGTAATAGGAGACTGTGCTATAGCTTCTCTTACTTGAGAAAAGCCCATAAAACTTATCATTTGCATATTGTCACTGTTTTGACTGAAACTTCCTTTAAATGTGTTTCCTTTCTAGCAGGCATACGTGAAAGGTGACCTCTTAGCCATTTACATACCTCCCCGGTGATCATGTGACCCAGTTTTACGTCAAACTGTCAATTATGATAAGGGACACAATAAGAACAGTCAAAGTGCTGATAACCTGTTTCCCGAGTTTACTGAGAAGTTCTCTTAAAGAGTCCACTTGTGTTCTTCTTTCAGCCTGCTGCTGAAAGCAAAAGTGACATTGACTCAAAACATTTTGCAAACAAATACTCCGTGTTCAGTAGATATTTCAGTTTGCAAGTTCCATTATGAATAGTATGAAGAGAACTGCATTTTGAATTGTGCAACTCAGTAAGTAAAGGATATATCTGGTAAGAACGTCCCACTGAGGAGACAGGGAAGACTTTTGTAGAAAATAAGAAGCTATCTACAGTTTTCTGATTTTGCACTTTAGAGACCTTTTTACTATGTACATTGAAAATGTTTGACTCATAATTGTAAAAGCTGTGTGAATATAATGAGTACAATATACCACACCCAGAAAGTCCACGCTCTAGTGAAAACCGTGCCACAGCGATTATCAGAGCAAAGACTGGAGGAGTTCACTAGCTCCTTGGTAATTGGGCCAGCATTAGTTAGCACCTTTACTGTGATAGGAAAGGTGTAGAGGTCATTGTCTTCACACACCTCAATAGTTATCCAATTTATTTATGTTTTCTAATTAAAAATAGAATCACCCATACAGTGCCCCAAGGTGTATAAAAGTTAAGTAAATGGTCAAGAAAGAAAACCTTTCAGTTATTTCATTCATTCTAACAGAAATATTACAGAAACCATTAGTCTGTATTTGCAATAAATACAAATGTCTTTGTATGCATCCATCCATCCATCCTCTTATCTTTTTATACTGCTTACACAGGTAAAGTTCACAACTGATATTCTGGCAATTTTCTAACTTTATTGCCAGAAACAATATACCTGACTCTAGGTGTCTGTCACTTCAAGAACATAATAAATCCGTGAAGTTGAGATGCCAGAAATGCCATTACATAACCATGAGAGTTCTGATCATTAAGACTTTGTTACTGAATTAATGTTCTTGCCATTAAAGTTAATAAGCCAAAAGGATAGAGATACAAATCGAATCTGGCAAGGAATTTTGTCCACTTGTAGAAGGCTGAATTTGACTAACTTTCCTCAATTTGTTCCTTTTTCCTCTACTCTAGGCATAGAAACCTCAAATTTTCAATAAGTGCAAATTAGAGAAATAAAGGGGAAAAAAGGTGCTCCCATACAATTGGAAAGATTATCCAAACTTTTATGCACAATTTATCTAAGATGTTTCAGCACAGATGAAGAGCAACGAGCACTAGATTTGACTTCATAAAATAATTCCACCAACCACCAACAGTAAAATTAAGAAAAACTCTGTCATTCAGGTACTAACTTACCACTTCAGTTGCCCCTTTTCAAGAAAAGAAGAATGAGTGGTCTCTAATATTTTGCAATATACAGAAGGGGGCTGATATGAAGTTTTTACAACAAAATTACAAGATAGGTGTGACTCTCTGTATGCCACAAAAGTGAGATACGTTTTGTAACTATTCATGCCACAGTATAAAAATACTTGGTATTTCAAGGCAGGTAATGGGAAGATCCACCAGCAATTGCATCAGAAAGTGGACTACATAGTTATAATTCCCCAATCGAACCTGGTCGTCCTAACTATCACTGTAACATGCTAAGTAATGCATATAACACCTTATTTTCACAGTATCTATACCAGTAAAAGCTAACAAACTCTCTCATTGGTCCTATTATGCACTGTCTTTCTAAGTTTTATTCAGTGTTTCCCATCTAAATATGAGTATTCCAGTTCAACTGTGCTATAAATTGTTTACTGGAAGTTCTAGAAAGCTATCACTTTGTCAAGATTCTGTGTGCGCATGTGTTGCAAAATACATGTGTAACATTTAAATTTATTGTTGTTACTGTACTTTAAATGGGCTACATAATGGTTCTTTTTAACAATAAAAAGTACTCAAGGGTACATGCCAATATTTCTCATAACCAGAGAGAATAAATCTTCATAAAGACTCCTCCAATGAGGTAAAAAATGTACCGGTGACAATATTTATTCTTGAAGGGTCAATGTGCATTACAGGGTACGGTGAATATTTAAAAGACCTCTCTGGAACTAAAACCATTGGCTTTCTAATTTAGAATTTCTCTCCAGTAATACAAAATGATTGATTGCCTTTATTTCATGTACCCCTTGATTTTTCTTTTCATTCATCATGGGCTGCTTTAAACCAAATGCATTTAAAATCTGCCACAAGAAGAGTGGTCTCTTTTAAATTGTTGTAAAGTAATGAAAGGACATAGTAAATCAATCCCATTTCTGCTTTACCAAAGGATAACCTTTGCTCTACTGAAGTTGTTTAGGCAATCTCAATGCTCTACCTCACTTTCTGGGTAATATATGTATATGGCACTGTCATCTCCAACATGCCTTTAGAGTTGAGTGAAGGTAATTAATTAATTAGAAACTTATACATACATACTTATATATTCATATTTATCCATCTGAAAAACTTTTTTGTTAAAGTATACTGTTCTTTCAAGTGGTTTCAGCTGTACATTCTATTCATTAATTTCCTACATATGTATAGGCATACATACACACACACAAACACACTCAGGCAAGTATAGATATGTCCATTGTATATATTAGAAGAGAACAGAGAATTAACAGCATAGACAATAACACAATTTTTAAATTTACTCTATGGCTCATTGGTCACCAATTGATGCTCTTGAATTAATATAATGAGACTATTAAGCAATATATTTTATCAGGGAGAACGTTGGTTTAACAAAGTGGCATTGAATAATTCACTCAGAAGCGCATGTGAGACGTAACCGAGTTTCCCCTTTCCCCTAAGCCACCTGGCCACATGTTTTACCATGAAGGGGAGTTTAAGACGCAGTGCATGTAAATGCCACAAAGACCCTTGAGATCCCTCTCACTTTTATATTCCAACGACACTGCTGAAATTTTGAAATATATTTCTATCTGCACAAAGCCAAAAATAAATAGAAGATGCACAACATTAGCAATATATGCTTTTTATGTCACAAACTCAGTCAGGAGAAAATAAAGGGTGCTTCCGCTACTTTCTGGCACATGACAAAAGTTTGTAAGTCTTTCAGTGAACTTGGAAGAAGGTCGAATGTGCTTAGGCAGTAGCAAATTTGCAGAAAAAATGGTGTCCAAAAATACGGAGTGAAAAAAAATTATTCCCAAATTAACTGGATGTCAGAGACATTTCAAAGGATACTGTGTACAGCTTCACAAGAAGTCCACAAATTACATGCGCTGTGCTTAAAGAGAGATATTGTGTGTGTTTTAAAACACAATAAACATATACTGTGTATGTTTTAAAAAGAGCCGTGTTATAGTAATTGCAAAACATTTCATAATACAAAAATCTTTGAGAGGTTAAAAACCCTCAACAAAACACTATGCCAGAAAATTTGCTGAGAAATTAATGGTTGGTAAACCCACTCAATGTCATTTGGTATTTTCAGAGTATACAGATGTTTGCAGTTAGGTCTCACTAGTTAAAAAAAAAAAAGTTGGCAAAGCACCAACTACTTTAAATAAACCATCATCTTTATGATTTTCTCTGAACTCTGCATGTGGTGACCTTTAAAACGGACATACTGCCACCTTGCCCTCAGAGTGGGTAGAGATAGGGAGTTCCAACTGAAGCAGAACAGGTAGGTTTTACTGAAAAATTAAACAGGCATGTGTACAAACTGCAGACAGGAACCCAAGTCTAAGAAAAAAATACATTACAACAAAGACCAAGGACTACTTAACAGTCCCTTTCTTATTGCCCCAATCAGCTTTTTTCTTTATAAGATTTTACATGCTGTGAATTTCAAAGTACTCTACTGTTAAGATCTAGGAGGAACACAAACACACATCATAAAGTATGTTAAAATTCTAAAGGGTCTGAATTTATGTTTGTTACTAGTAATGTAGCATTTCTGTATGTGCATGGCCTTGCTACTGACTGCAGCTAATTTATTTGTATGCCACCATTAATCTCGGCTGTATATTTTCACAGTTTGGGTAAACACTTCATTTGCATTAAATTTACAGCATTAATGAGATGTGAAATTCAAAATGCTACTTGAAACATAAATGATGTAAAAAACTAGAACAAAAACATGGTTTTATCACATTTTAAATCAGCAGACCAATTTAAGCCTATTAAACTAGAAGTGATGATGTGTTGCATTGAGAATGTTAAATATCCGGGGAAAAAAACAAAATAGCTTGAAAATAATAAATTGGACTTTCTGCTTTGGAAATTTTGCTTATTTTTTTAAACAGATTTTGAAATCAATATTTGTTTCTTAAACAGCTCATTCTCCTTCCTAAAATTCTATTAAAGATTACATGTATGAGCTCTTGAAAAAATAAAATAATGAAAGAAATATGGTTAGAAGTTCCTTAAGATGGCACAAATCTAAGAAATACAGCAAAGGCTAAATTGGTATTTCTCAAAGGGTTCAGTTGTTTTGAATAAACTTCATCTTCACATGACAAATACTGAAACCCTTAGGATTTCAATCTAATCCAAGATAACAGTGGCAGCACGAAGGAAGGTAATATCGCAAAGGCTTCTCTATATCATCACACCTATGTGAAACTTGCCCACCTGTTGCTGGTGTAGGAAGGATGGGTCTCTTGGGCTTAGTCCCACATATCGATTGGCTTGGGATGTGCCTGAGGCTGTGTAGGCTGATTAAGGAAGAACAAAACATATTGATAAAAATACCAACCTATCATAACTATTACCTTGTGCAGGTACAGTACAAATATGAGAGATCCAGAGTTATGATTTTGCATTATATAGGATGTGTCTGTGGTTTTCCTTTAGTCAAGAGGAAGCAAAAGAAACACTGGACCAAATATAGGAGGGCATGTGTAAATTCCTATAAACTTCAATGGAAGCTGCATGTGTAAATTATAATGATGTCTCTTTTAAATAGTAGTTCCTCTGATTAATTTTTGTCAAGTGATGTCTTAAAATATTTATTTAAAGGAATCACAATTTTTATTTCCATTATACCAATCTAAAGCACCTGTGAAATCACTGAAACTACAACGTTGAGAGAAAATATTAATATACACATTATCTTTACTGCTGTGAAGGCCCTGTTAAAAAAAAAAAAAAAAAAAAAAAAAAAAAAAAAACCCAACAAACCACAACTGTAAAAGAACAACAAAAATTAGAATAAAAAGTTTGGTTTACTTATGTAAATGAATCTTTACAGGCCTTTGAAAATGGGATGTAATCTGACTAGGATTTTCATAAGAAAGGAACTAATTCTTACTGTGCAATATTATAGTAAATATTCAACTCTCCCATTCATCAGGAAACAACTTTTTCCCATGGGAAAAATTTAAAGAAGTCTCTCGCTGTCTGCTACAGAAGATTGAAGAAATCCATTTCTGAGGAGAAAGAAAATGATGCTGGGATTAAGCTACAGGATATGAATACTTCACCTGTAGGACACATTCCTGTCTGGTCTCTGCCATTACCTGTTCATGGCTTTTATTGGTACATATCTAGTTACTTAGGTGATCTTACTCCACTGCCCAGTGCAGAGATGTCCACACTGCAACTTGAACCAACTGGAAACTTGATGGCAAAATAGCAAAGACTTAGTAGCAAAACCACTGAAAATGGACAGACACACACAAGGATACCAGTGAGAAGCTAGATGGGAGTACTTACTGAACTGGCCTGTTAGTACTAAAGTCATACAGAAAATACAAGCAAGCAAAATGTATTAATTAAAAAAAAAAATTAAAAATGCTATATACAGTAAACAGGCTTTACCAAAAAACTGTCATAAAAATTAACGAGTTATTAGAAGGAAATTATGGTGGAGGCCGCAGGGTTCTCCAAATATGATTAAAGCCTGCTGTTCTTTCTTATTCAAAACCATTCTGCTATTGCACTTCAGAATGAAAAGGAGTGCTAATCATTTAATTGCTATTTAATTCTCATCAGACTGAATAATCATGATAACTTGTTGGCCAAGCATAAGTTATATAAATATATATCAATATATATTTTCAACCAATCAATCAGTTATTGCAAATAAAAGTCAAACTGTGCCATAAAGTATATTCAGTGTTAATTTTCCCATTAAGTTAACATTAGCACTTTCTGAGATGGGTCTATTATGACTGATAATACAGTTTATATGTATTCATATACATATAATTTAAATATCAGTAGGACACGATCCCTCATTTTTTGCTATTTTCTTCATTAACAAGCTACATTTCTTCATGTGCTTTGCTGTTACAGTAACAAACCAATTTCAAAGGGGTTTACCAGCAGATAGACTACTGCAATGCTCTGAAAATCATAACACCCTAAGCATGTAGCATTTATACACTATCTGGCACATTAAAATAAAATCTGCAAATAGGGATTTTTTTCTGCTATTATCTATGTGCTGCAATGACAAGAAGTTGATTGCAAACTGCTATGGAAACTCAAGGAGGCCTTATTTCAAGTATCTAAGCCAAGATGTTCTAAAGTTCAGTGGGAATGAGCTACCCAAGTTCCCATGAATCGCACAACAAACTGAGAGATTATTTAACGGGAAAATATAGTCCTAACCATTCCCTTAGTAGTAGGACAATGAACAGACTAGGTATGCTTTCCTGTAATGTTGAATATTAAGATCAGATTACCAGAAAACATCCCAACACAGTCCCGGGACTGTGTGTGCTCTTTTGGCCATCTGTATCAGAAACCCTGACTTCATCTGACACAGATATGTAGGCCAAGCAAGATCATGACAAATAGCAACGAGAATGAAACCATCAATACTTGAAACTACACTACACTCAGTGTAGTGTTCTCAGTCTTCTGTTCTGGTTCCAAATGTTTAGAGCAACAGTTTCTCCTTTGCTGCTAAAACTAACTCTTCTTAAAAGGTGCAAGAACTGTACCACAAACCACCAGTGGGGCTACAGATACACTCTACCTATACTGAAAAAACAGTTGAAATGCTTCCAGAAATCTATCCATATAATTATTTGTTTATCCTTAAACAGTAGTTCGTCCAAACATTTTATCCTTTCATAATAAACATGAATTCTTAACCTCTCTTTTCTCTTTTACATCTTGACCGCTCCTATGCACAAGTCTCACATCTGCTTCATATTCTAATGAAAAGATTTCAAGAAGTGTGACACTTGAAAGGCATACAGTTTATGGTCTCTGTTAATGACAGACCAAAAGTTATCATCTGGATTTGCAGTTCAAATATCAAATAGGTCTAGAAAAAATAATCTTAATGTGACAGACCCTAAAGAGTCTATTTTTAGACTAGTAAATTTTTTTTCCAAAGTGTATATGGAAGCGTCTAAAAATCTTCACCACTCTGATAAACAACGACACCACTGGCCACCTCAAGTCCGAATAAAAGTTCAAATACAACAGAAATGCAGAACATAGTAAAAATGCAACATTTTGCACAACTAAACATGAGTGTCTGGAAGAGATTAGCCTAGATATGGTAACACCTTTGCTCCTATTTCCAAAAGCGCAATTCCATTGAAGATAATAGGATAAATAACATGGTCCTATATGTAATAAAGAGCTTAAAATATTGAAGATGAAGTTTGTTATTTTGTATTAAAAAAAAAACACCAAAAAAACAACAACCACAAAACAGTGGGTCTACCATCCTTTGCAGCAATGAGAAGAAATTTTCTTTTGCCACAGTAGTTGTTTCTGGTAAAAATGACACAACCTATATTAACATGCAATTGTCATAGCTCGGATTCAGTATGTGTTGCAAACAGACTTGATTTCTGTAGGAAAGTTCATTGAGAAGCAAATTATCCAATCTCTGTTTGTAATTCCATCTGTGGGTCATTGTAAAACCTGGTTGTCTTGGTGTGCTTCTCAGTGTCTTAACAATGTCCGCCTCAGATGAACAAACACATTTTCTTTTCCTTGAACAGTGGTCAAATATGCAGGCTTTTCCCTTTCATTTTAGTTGTCATGTCACAAACTTTGGTTCATGTAACATGATCCACTGGTTGAAATTTGCAGAGGAAAAGCTTTGCAGTCAGATCGCATTTGCTCTCCATGTAAAATGATGAGCACCCACTTGGTCAAATAGTAGGAAAAGGCGCCTTTTTCTGGCCTCAATTTGAAATCATATCGAATCTTCGATGGATATTTTTTGTTTCCTAAAGAAATACTTACTGGTTGCTGTAGGTGAAGATGCCTCACCTTCAGTGGATGTAGTGATGGGTTTAGTATCTGTCATGGTCAGGGTCACAGGTCGCACCGCACTGTGATGGGGAGAGGGTGCCAAAACTGGAGTAAAATGGCCAGGCACTTTCCCTACTACTTGACCACTGCTGTTAGGCTACAAAACAAAACCAAAAGAATGCCTTGTGAAACATATACATTGCATTTAAGGAACCTACCTACCTATCTTAGGGTTTTCCAAAATGCCCATGGTTGTAGTACCTGCATTTTGGAATGTGCTGTTATAGCATTGCTATGAATTTCTAGGAGATATTTGTCATCAGGCAGGTCTCTTCTCTCATAGGTAGTACATGCTTAAGTGGCAGTACTTTTTGGTAAGCTTTCTTTCTGTTTGGGTGCAGCATGTGTCAGATAGTTTCAAAATATATTTGCTGTTCATGCAGTGTCTGTGAACAAAAATCCTATCATAGCAGGAGTAAACTGACCAGGCAGAGGCCGTAATGTATGAAGTATTAAGAGCAAATGACTGATGTGAAACCTCTGTTTTCACATGCCATACTACTCTGGCTTGGATGATAATCAAGACTTGACCACAGCTGTCCAGAGAGATTACTCATACTGGAAGGCTAACTAATAATTCACATGCTTGGGAATTTGGATTTGGATAAAATGCACTATAATGCACACATCATAACATCTGGCCAAAAGCCGCTTACCAAAAACACAGAAGTGTTTCATAACGAGAACTTTGCAAGTCAAGAGCATAATAAGTAAGAACGCTTCTTCCATAGATACAAGAGGCAGTCTGTGTATGGCCTTATGGTGCAGGTCATAAGGTAATATGCTACTTTATATGTATAGGCATATGTGAAATTGGCAAAGTTGGCTGGTAAATGTATATGTTTATCCAGTGCTTAAACACGCCTTAAACATTCTCTATGACTGCAAATACTCCAAAGGTAAAAATAACTTGCAATAAAATCAGCTAGTAGTAAATAGTTTTTTCAACAGTAACTGATAACTTCTGTCTTAAACTGATTGTGTACTATACGAGTACTAAGTATTTTAAAAAAGCCATACAAATTATGAAATACTGGAAATCTTTTTATCAGAAGGATCTTGTTAAATTTAAGATAACTTAAAGACATGGACTGATAAAAGACCCAATTCAACTCATTCAAGGAAAGGTTAAAAGAGGTAAGCATGATTTTGGTAATGAAATAATAATCAGATTGAGACAATTACTGCAAGTATGTGAGGAGTATAAACACATAGAAGACGAAGGAATTATTTGGAAAATACAGGAAATACATACTTGGGGTAATGGAATGAAATTGAGAAGGAGGAAATTTAAAACTAATAGCAGGAGAAACGTCCTGGCAGTATGATCTACTAGACTTTGCAAATGCACCCAAGGGAGAGTCGGAGAGTCTTGTTTAGGACACCTAAAACTAAGCAGCAAACACTAGAAAATATAAGTGCAAATGGAAACCAATCTGGTGTCCTCAGGAACATTGAGCAGTTAGCAGACTATTTCCCTCCCTAAAATCGCAAGCCTTACAATGAAAAATAACAGTAAAAATGCACATTAAATGGCCAACAACCTATCCCTCTAAATGAGAAAAAGTCACTTCCTAGACATAACTCTTGTCAGTAAGATCTGCTTGCTATGTTGGAATGAATTTTCACTATGCTTCTAGGAATTCTGCTGCAGAGGCAAGCCCTCTCTCCTGTCCTGGCAGCCCAGCTGTCCACACAGCCTGCTGGAGGGAATACCACGTCTCAGTTGCATCTGGTAACTCCTAGGTGGAGTCACTGACCTGTGGCCACAGGGCTACCTTAGAAGCCTTATCTTATGTGGTGGGCTAACATCACAAAAACAGTTGAGAATTCCTTACCAAAATCATCAATTTTTATTAAAAACTAAGAAAGCAGATTTCACGGAGCGTGTATGGATTGAAAAAGGCAGTATCATCAGCTTAAAAAAGCAGCTGTCTCTAAAGACAGACTTGAATTAATGAGAATAAATTAGAAGGACAGAGCAGGAGCCCAGGACGATTACAGCATTATATTGTCCCATAGTGATCCCAGTCAACAGGAATCCAACGGCTCACACGGAGTCCAGCTTAGCCTTTATTTATATTGCCCAAATGAGCAAACTCTTTCCTTGTTCATTGTTAAGACAAAGATTATACTCATATCTCATTCTCTTGTAAACCATGTTTTTCCCTGTGCAATATACAACAGCAGTGCAATACACAACAGCAGTGCAACATCACATGCTTCATCCAAATAGAGGGTGAAATCCTGTCTTTGTTGACAACCATGGGGTTGTCACTACTGATTTTAGCAAATGCAGTTTGTGACTCCCCGCACACATTTCTTTTCTTTTCTTTTTTTTGTTTTCCCCAATTTCTTCTTAAATGGTAGGTATTTCTCTAAATCTGTCTCACATATGAAACTGAGTGCAGATGCAATCCAATGAAACTGATATCTACTAGACACAAAAATAAAACCTCTAAAGTAAGAAAATGTTACTTTGGTAAGTTTAATTTATTTTCAGATGTGTTATATTTTCCAGTTTTTTAATTCCACACTATCTTGAATTGCCGCAGTTTAATTCATTCATGTTCCCAAAGCCACAGATGAGTTTTATTTGTAGTCATAGTTGTAACATAACTCAGAATATCAGACTGTTCCTATCTGATGGTGCGCATTGTACACACTTTCAGTCAATCCTCAGGTCTAAGGATATATATTCTGTTTAAATATATGCCCAAATATCAGCACATTTAGCCTTACATATTCAGTTACATTTCAGGACAGTGTTTTGTCATATAGATCACTATTTCCAGTGTTACAAAAGTCTTTCTAATGCCATAGTGAAATATCAACCACTAACATCTACAGATGAGATATCCAAACATAACAGAAATTTGACATACCTATTAAACAACTCACATAAAGTATTTATTACTCAAATTTTCAAATATATTAGATGTCTAAATCTGAACATTTTTTTAACAAAATAATTGTAATTATAATTTCAAAATCCAAATAAAATAAATCAAATTTTCCTTGGAATCTTAAATACATAGCATCTTCAAATAAATAATTAAGAAAGGCCAGAAATCATCTTAATCTGTGCATGTCCTAGATATATATTATATACCATCTAATTACTACACTTGAAGAATAATATATTTGCAACTCAAAACACAGGTTTTTAATAGAAATTCTGTGTTTCACAAGAAGGTTACCTTATTATAACCAGGTGATCAACTGGATGCAGTGTATTTAGAAATAATGTCACCCATTTCCTCTCAACAATTCCACTCACTTGTAATGATAAAGTTCAGATGCTATGCTGGACAGTATCACTACAAAACCCTATAACAGTGTAGTTTTGAGACCACTGATTGAATTAATTTTGTTGATGAAGTTATAGAAAATCCAGTTCATTTTGGTCCCCTACTCACATACCAAGTATCTTACTTTCACATTTGTCTACTAGACACATGTGTAAACCTGGAGATAATAGTTCATAGATCATAGTATGAGATCATCATAAGTTCTGTCTGTGAGCCCATGTCCTTGTGCTCTGTGGTATCCACAGAGGGTGACTGATGTTTCAGAAAAGAAACTAGAAGTAGTAACTTTCATTTTTCTAACTTTCCTCCTCTCCCTTTTGCCTAGGGCACCCTAATGCTAAATCACCCGTAAAAATCCAATGGCCATGTTATTATTCCAACAGAGACAGCTCACTGGTATAGCAGGCAGTTTCATGTGTGGAATTCATATACACAAGTTACCTATCTGAGTAATAATAATAATAATGCCTTTGAGACTCTGCTAAACATAAGGGAATGGCATTATTAGAGTACCACCAGTGAGACTGTAAAAGGTATTTTAGGGCAGTTGCCCTCAGGTTGAACCTGGCGGGTTCCAGAAAGCATTTGGTTAACATGAAGTAAGACTATACAGATTTCCTTTCTGCTACCGAACACTATGATAGCAACAGAAATGTACTTTGCCTTTTTATAGTGCCCCTTACCACTTCTCATAAGGATGAATCTCCCTAGTTTCTGTACCAGGAATCTGAGTAACTCATTGCAACAGCACATCTTACACAGACCTCTCTCTGAGATGCCACGCAAAAGCTTCATCCGGTGTGACATGCAGCTACCTGTCTACTTGAGCAATTAGCTTTAGAAAAAAACATGTTGTTGCCAGTTCTTGGCTGACAACATCCCTTCTGTACTACTTTCTATAAGAAATCAAGGTGCTAACTTTGATCTATAAAGCTCTTAGTCTCATCCATTTGAGAAAGCCTTGATGAAATGCTGCTGGAACTGACAGCAACCACGCAGTTTCGGCAATCCAGGTTCAGACATGGATGCTATAAGATATTCTAGAGTCCTCCATCTTGAAGCACAATTTTACTGAGCTCATAAAATCTGGGTTATTTGTCAACAGGTAGAGTACAAGGAAATACCCAGCTTTCCTCGTAATTTGCCTTAACAACAGGGTAAGTTTGTGTGACAGAAGGAAATCCCTTTGTAGATAAATGTTCAAAAGATATCTTTATGTTACATGCTATTTCATGCACTCTGGAGACTTATACCCATGCATTTAGTGCAGACTACACAAAGTAATCAGTTACAATTGCAATTAATCTTAAAATGTCTTGCTGATAGATAGCGCTAAGCTAGGACTCGTTTGCTCTCTGCCGCCAAATCACAATTAAAACCTGCACATTGCTTTCCTTAATCTTCAATAATTTCTTAAAAATTACAAGAAAGGATTTGCCCAAGAAGCTGGAAATTATTAAATGTCAACAAATAAAGGTGCTAGCTATACCAAAGAAACCACATGCACACAACATTGCTTTTCTTGGCTTATTCTGCTAGTACTTTCCCAAGAACAAACAGGAAACCCTTTGACCAGCCCAAGCAGAGCCCCATAAGATTCCCTTCTCAATGCTAAATGACTGTAGTTATTGTATTGAAGAATGACAAAGCATCTGCCTGATGTTCCTGAAGAGTGTGCATGTCTGTCATTGAATAGAAACTTGAATATCTCAATCATTTATGAGAGGAAAATAAGTGGCTTCCAGAAGCAACTCCTCTCAAGCACTTCAGATATTTCTATCTTCAGAAAAAGATAAAACCAACAAAAAAATAAAGCTGCAAACTAGACCACATTGCAACAAAGTACGTTTTATCAGGCTCACGAATTTTAGTCAACATACAGTTAGCAGTTCACTTAAGACACCACATATGTAAGGCATTTATTGTAAGAGAAAAAGGGTCCAATATTTAACTCCTCCAAACTGGAGTCAACTTTTGCCATATCACTGAAAACTGCATATGTCATCAAAAATATCACAACATTTGATCTAAGGTTACATGTAGATTTTGCCCTTCAAATCCATACTCAAACATCTTGAAAGATTTTCTACTTCCGTTTGCTTGGTTCAGTCAGAAAAAAAATTCTCACTGATTGAAGGATATTCCTCAGCAGAATTCACCTCAGCTGTTTGCTTTACCATTGTTTCCTTCATCACATCACACTTGCTGATCCTTCTTCTGTGATTCACCACATCTTAACCAGGAAATTTTTCTATTTAATTCAACAGTGCATTAAGTTTGGAACTTTTGGTTTTGTTTTCAGCCACACAAGTGGTGGTGTACTTGATTTGTTCAGGGTCATTAGAAGCCTGATTTTGATACTATAAAGTGGTTCATATGCTCTTGAGTATTCATACATTTCAAGTGTGCACAGTGCATATTTATGTGCGTGTGTGCATGCACACATTACGCAGACACAGAGGTAATATTTTCTAGGATTAAAAGATTCACCCACCTAGAATGATTCAAAAAGGTAACACATGCTTGAAATTTGTGGTAGATTTGAAAACCTCACCACACTGTAGATGGATAAACACCGTAGGTGGATTAGACACATATCAATAAATTAGTTTTTGTTGAAACTTACAGTAACTAGTACCAGTTGGAGATACCTGCACCCCATCATAATACAGATACACACTCACACATACAGTATTAACTAGTAACATGAATGCCTAGTTAAGAAGAAAAGCTTTGAAATAAGTATAATAAAAAGGGCTCAGTTGAAATTCTTAATCACTGGAAAGTGCAGCAGTTCTCATAACCTTGGGAACTTTTCAGACTACTAGTTGGAGACAAGTCCAGCTCTATAGCTAACAAGGTTCATTTCTGTTCAGTACATTTGTTTGTTTATTCTCCAGATTGAGCAGGCGATAAAAAGCAGATATTCATGAAACCGACAGCCACAGCTCTCTTTTGTTTAGAATCATCCATTGTTGAATCATTTTTCACTGCAGCCAAAGGGCCTGTTTGAACTTCCTGACTGTTCATCACACATAATTTAGAGTATTTGACATTATGTCAAGAAAATTGCCCACTGCTTCCCACCATGGAAACCTATGGGAGCTCTATATCTTTAAACTAATTTTACTTAAAGTATTCCATTGAATAGCTTGACTGTCTCACTATAATCAGTGCAGCAGGAATGTAATTAATCTCAAAATTGCTGTGGGGATACAAGGCATCTCAGTTGCCTGACGTAACAATCTAAATTAGCGCATTACTGAAAGATGTTGGGGAGGAACAGTTCATTTTAGGTAAATGCTGTCAGGGTATCCATCCTTTCTATTTCTACAGATGAAATTAAAATGATCATCAGAGTTCTCCTTTTGAAATCCAAATGAGTATGTTTTGAGGTGGGAAAGTATAATTAAATTTGATGTATTCCTACATTATTCCTAAATTTGACCTGTATTCCTACAGATGCAGTTTTGCGTTTTATAATAATTAAATTTGTCTCAACAAAAATTCATGTTTTATTTAGAAAAGAAAAACTAGTTTGGCTCAAAGCATGCCATTGTATCAGAACAATTCCCTTTTGTCACTGAAACTTCACAGACGGTTGCTTCTTTTCCTAAGCAAAAAATTAATCCTGCTGTTTTTACTCTTTGTACAGTCAAACTTCAAGTGTTCTATTTAGGGATATTTTGACTGGGCATGCAACTACTCCAATGTACAGCAAATATCAGAGGTGAACTCTAAAGAATTAAATTTTAAAAATATTCTACTAATAATCGTGATTAATGATAATAAAATGTGGTGAATAGCTGATGCAGATGCCTGAAATTGCATACTTGTTGTTATTTACCCCATTCCTTCTTCTCAGGAACTAAATCAAACATCAAATGAAATTAAAAACATTGCCCTAATATAAAGGCTACCAAAGCTGATGAAAGTGTTAAATTTACGCCAGTTAGGCCTGTTATTCCCTACGATACCATGGTACAAGTACATGAAGTGTTTTCAGATTGTTAATACTCTGAAAAAAATCAGCAGAGTAAAATTTTATCTTTTAAGGTCTAAAGATTATTCTTTCAACCAGAGGTAAGAAAAGAGAGTTGGGCAAAAAATTGAAGGCGTAACTCCTGCTCAGTTAATATACTCCCTGATGTTAAAATCATAAGACAGCATATTTTTCAACTGTCTGAAAGAAAGTAAGATGCTTCATTTAGATGTTGGATGTTTTTTCAGTAATGATCCAAAGCAGAACATGAAACAATCCAGAGGGATTATCACCTAATCTGCTCTTTTAACATATATAAGAAATCAAAATGTAAGTAAAACAAGCACTGAATAATTAAAGAAATGCATAACAGTAAGGGCCTGATTTAATTTGCATAATTTTTCCCCTAATAGTGCCTAATTAAGACATCAGTTTAAAAAAAAAAATCCAACAGAACTCTGAGATTTTCTGCACTGAATTAACGCTAAGGACTTTTAATGGGTGTCTTAATTAGACTTTGTTATTCATGGAAATTTTACACAAATTAAAATCAGGTCCTGCATGCAACATTCCCAGCTGAGTCTCAGAAAAAGCGCTATACGGGACTGAAAGACTTTTAATCCACGTGCAATTTGTATTCTAAAATCGACATACTTCATGATCACTTTTTGGTTTAATTTGCATTAATATTGTAACTAACAAAAATCACATAGTTAGGATTTCTCTGTTCAAAGAAAATTTTAGTTTTTTGGACCCACTGTTTTTTTGTTGGTTGTTTTTTTTTTTTCAACTAGACATATAGAAAGTCATGCAGCTGGACCAGGGAATTAGCCCATGGGGACAATAGCCACCATGACCTTCTGCACAGCTCAAAGGGTCTGTATCTGTTATTCAACATAGAAAGTTTGATTCAGTCTCAAGTTCTATTGCTGTTGTGTCCAAAATGAATGCTGAAAGGCCTGTCATTATTGATGAAAAACAAAACAAATGAAGCAAACAAACGAAGCCCAAAACAAAATGCTGTCATAGCAACCCCTTCATCCCTGATAAGACAGTCCTTCCAAAGGAAACTAACTCTTAGGAGCAGAAAAACCTGACCATTGTCTCTTCAGTTTACATTCCCAAGGCTCTTCCAAAAAACATGCTAAAGCACAAGCAACAGGGCTCCATAAGAGCCTTTCAGGCAAGGCATCAAAAATAAATAACACTCTGAGCAGCAAAGATTACATTACGCTGACATTGGAAATATTCCAGGTATTGACAGACCAAGTCTCAACTGCAGTTTATCCTATAGTGCAGATCACATGCTAATGCTATGTGCTGGTGCTGTTATGGAAAGCAGTTCTGCACACAATCCTTCACAAATTACTTCACTAATGAAAAACATGTTAATTTTCTATATCAGACAAGTCTGAATAATTGAAGCTGCCAGCAACGCATCTGCTACCGCATGTTTTCTACAAAAGGAAGGAAAAAAGAATTTGTGGGTCAGTGCTGTGCTCACTCCAAAGAAATTTCAGGTGCCTATGGAACCAGGCTAGCATTACCTTGGCAGAGCTTATTTTCATTGCCAGCTTATAAAATACACCATGTCCATGTGTGTGCTTGGACATATGTATGTTTCAGCACACTCCTTGCTGCATCCTGCAGGAACTTTACCTCTGGTGGCCCTGCATGAACACAGGCACCAAACCTGAAGGAGGGGTGCAAGACCAGGACTGCTCTGTTACTGCTGCCAGGTTGTTCAGTCAATTAACTATTTTTCTTATGCTTGACAGAGCAAGTGGATATGATTGCCCTGTAACCTTTATTCAACCATGATGAACAGAAAAAGTTGTATCGCTCATATATCATCTTCCAGATTTCTCTGAGACCAGAAATGGAGAGATACCAGCCTAGATGCCCTGGAATTCCTCATAGGATTTGTTTTGGAGGGTTCGCATCTTGTTACAGTACCTGGCTAGTCTGCGGACTGGACGGGTCGTAAGAAGGTACATAATTCTTCAGAGTATCCTGAGGATTCAGGTGGGGAGGATATCTGATCGTTGGATGAGAGAAGTAGCTAGATGGGGCAGGAGGGAGAATAGCTTGTGCTGGAAATGGCAATGGTGAAGGTGGAGGTGGAGTTCTAGTTGAGATGACTGGAGAAGATAAAATAAAATTAAAATTACTTCGTATCTTGTTTCTTCTAAAATTCTTCACCTCTGTGTCACAGCAAGAAAAATAAAAAGTCAGTTATAAATCAATACACTGCACTCCTGCTTTATGGCATTTTTATAAAAAATCTTACAGGTCCTCCCCTTATATCCTCCCAGGAAATGGAAAGTGCAACTGTTTCAAATTTGTAAATACTGTATTTACTGTATCTGTAAATACAGTAAATACTGTAAATACTGTTTTGGGTTTATGAGTTATGCCATCATATTTTTTCCATTTTTTTTTCTTTAAATAGTTATGGTTCTTCAGCATGAAAAGGCATTTCATTTGCACAGTTTTATCATCTGGAGCCCAAATAAAGAAATCAAATACTTGCTTAATATATAAACACCACACTTTTATTCAAAGCACTCCAACACTGAAGAAAGTAACCAAGCCGCAAGAAACAGTTAGTGATTTCTCACTGTATTGCACTCTATCTGCCTCATCTGAGGACAGGGGAAAATATCTACTTAGCAATATTGCTACAAATATTTGCTGACCTTTATGAAAAACCTAATGAACATCCAACTTCAGATCCTGGAAACCAATCCATCTAATAAAATTATCTCTGACAAACAAAAAGGTATCTACACTTTTTTTTTCTTTCTATTCTACTTCTTTCCATCCCCTACAAACATATACTTCTCCAGCTATAAAGTGTGTGCAGTGTCTAAACAACTGGCATTGTTTTCATAGTGAAAGGAATGTACAGCATGTCTTTCTGCCGCCCAGTTGTTGGTCTAGAAGTGAACTGCACAAGAACACAGTTTCCACCCTTACTACACACCAAGAGAGCATCTACTTGGTGTATTAAAAAAGAGCTACTAAGTTCAATAGAAGTGGAGAAAAGACATTTTCATTTTCATCAGCGGAAAAGTGCAAAATCGAGTCTGTATAAGCAAGGTAAACCGCTCATGGTTCTTTACTGTATCAACACAAGGTGCTTTTCTGGACCACCTTTCACATCTCTGTTTTTTTCAGCTTAATTTTTAAAGCTGAAATAGCTGTTTTTTGGGCACTGCTCATTGACATAATAGAACAGCCTACATAAATAAAAATAAGTTTACTATCAAGTAAATAGCTCACCTGCAAATTAGGTTATGACTCAAGTATGTATTTTTGAAAATTATACTCTAAAGTAAATATAAAGATATACACATAAGTATAGGATCAAAAATAATTTCTTTGGGGCAGACTCATTTTAAACATAGCCCCACCAAATTCAGTGTAAATATAAAATCCTATTTACTGCTCTGGTATGTTGCAGCTGTGCAAAACAAACACAAATGTGAAGAAATCTATACCTTCCATTTCCCCCATCATCTCTGACGTGCTTGAGTATTTGTAGGTAGTGGAAACCTTACAGGGACCAGAATGAGCACAGGCCCATTTTCATAAAACAAAATAAGTGGATATTAAGGGGAAAATAGTCTTTACACATTCATTGAATGATGGGAACTAGAAATCAGGGAGAAATCATAAAACGGAAACTCCTCAAAGCAGAACTGCATGTGAAAGAAAAGAAGAAAGTTTTCAAATCTGTTTTACTCCCCTAGTCATCCAGCTCTACTCAAAAAATTAAACCCTTTATATTCAGTTTATAAAGAGACATGATGAGATGCTGAGGGGACACTTCTGAGGACCACGTTCTCAACCGAAAAATCAGGGTCAGTCTCACCTCTAAAGTTAAACAGACCATGATGCTGCAATTTCCCTGTAGTTACTGATAAAGCCTCAAGACAACATGCATTCTGTCATATTACAAGTATACAAGTATCTCCTTCACACTTTAAGTGAAGTTTTACTGTGGACTCACTGTGGATTCCAGAAAATAGGTGTTGAAAAATACTTATCAGGACTCTATGTCTAAGCATTCAAAAGATGCACTGGTATTTATTTCATTGTGTGATAGAGAACATGGTTGTGACTTCTCTCGTGTATTAAACAACTGGAAGCTCTTGGTATTTATATACAACATAGTCATAACAACAAAAATAAAAAAGGGATTTAGGTGAAAGGAAGAAATACAGAGAGAGTTTTCCTCTGTCAGTTTCTTCATGCAGTATACAGTTTATTTTATTCACTGGTTAATCCTAAATACTTTTCAGTAACTTCCAGCAGTCAGATTACCTGAACAGTTTAATGAACACTCCTGCAAGGATATCATAACCTTTTCCATTTTTACTCTCAATCATTGTTATAAATGGTATTAGGTCTCTAAGAAAGTCTGCAAAAATGCATCACAACCTAATTACAGGAAAGAAGAATAGGGAGGTTTTTTCTTCCTCCTCCATAACCCTCACCACTGTGTGCAACTCCTGGGATTCCTGGGTGGTGATGCTGGGGAAAAGTGCTCAATCTTGGTGAAGAATCCTGGGGAGAAGTAGGACTAAACAAAGGCTTTTCAGGTTTCTTCATTGTAGGAGAAGACATATCTGCAACAGAAAAACAACAGAAGGGTGACATTAGCTTAGAAGCCTGTCTCAGGACACATAATTTTGTAGACTGAAGGTATTTCTTTTCGCTGTTCGTGCATAAATATCGTTTGGTGACCCAACTCCCCTATGACCAATAAACTAATTTTAAACTATTGCTTTCAAACTTGAGAATTATAATAATCCCATAACTGGTTTTTGTCCTGAAAAACAGAAACTACATTCCTTTCATACCAGACAAGTCAAACAGTGAAGAAACTTTGCTAGACACTTCTCAGCTCCCCAGAACATCACCAAATCATCTGTTCCTTCAACAGCCACTTAATTTTATTGCATTTTTTAATGGAACACCTACACTCAGGTGTGCAGGATAACTGCCATACATATGTCAGTTTATGGTTTTCATTATTGTGTTATTTCAAAACTTATCCCTTACCCTTCCCAAAACCATAGTGAAACAATGTAACCTCCCTAAGAACAAAGGATGCTTTAAAATTCTCTATCTCATATTTTCCATATCTGAAGAAAGTCCTTCCCACTTCTTCCTTCCAGTTTCCCTATCAACAAAAACATCTCTTTAGAGCTAACTATGTGAAGATAACACACTAGCAGGGACAAATGTATGATTTCTACCATGCAAGCTCACTGATATTTCATAGAGCTGTATTCTGAATTACTGTATTCTTTCTAAAAGTTTAAATTAATTAAACAACATTTGTTGGACTTTGCACCAAATTATTTCAAAGTTAATTACAATATTTTTATAGGACACACATCAATACTGCATTTGGGTTCCATTTCAAATCAATGGTACTAACTCATGTTTAAAGAAATTGTAAGTTCTTAAGCAATTACTGGACAGGAGCCACTTTGCAGCTGATTTTCCTACATGGACCATGTAGCTTTAAATGGATTTTTGATAATTTTAATATCATACACTGGTACACTATATTTTACTATTCTGGGACACATGTAATCACCTCAGAAGTCATAGAAAGGCCTGCAAAATGTGAATGTCTTATTGAAACCAAATTGGAGCAATACTTTCTGAACTGGATAAACATTAAGAGTGGGTTTTCACCCTGAAAATAATACTTAGAGCAGGACCTATGAAACTGAGGCTCCACTTCTCTGCTCTGTCCCGTCCTGCTGCCAAGCCCTGTATAGACACTAGCACCAGACCCCGAGCAGACTCTGGTTGTAAACCTCCATCAATCCCCCTGCAACTCCTGCAGTCCTCTTTGGCCCTGACAACTAAGTCTCGTGATTGCCAGGATACCCTGCAAAGTTCACATCTTCAAGAATGCTGTTGCAAAAGGATTCAGTTCAGCAAAACCTTCAGTAAGAACAAAGAACTGCTTACAACAGAGCAATTCAGCAATCATTCTGTCTTAACAGATGTCGAAGGTTGTTGTTATGATTTTGTTATACTGATCAGTTGCAATCTAATGTTCTCAAAAACACTGAGTGCTGACAGAGGCAGCTCTAGTTGTCTTTAAAAATTTGGTAAATCAGTTTTGTTGAGGAAGAAAATGGAGGAATATTTTTAATAGCTCAGCAGGTAAAAAAAGAAAAAAACTTGCCAGATGCTTACAGCTTTGTTGAATATATTCTGCTAAGCTAAGAAATAATTTTTTAAATTGCAACACTGAATTTTCTTAAGTTGAGCTTTGCACAGGTAAATCATGATAGGAATAATCCTGGAATGATTTTCAAACATTTCACTATGTTTGACTTTCTGCTGAAATGATAGCCCTAGCTTCTTCATATTAGGCTCTAGACCCATCAGGGTCTAGAAAATTCCCACACTTCCCCAACAGATATGAAGTGTTATAAAAGTCCAGGACAAAATTAACTGGCTATTGTCTTTGTATTGTGGTTCTGTCTCTGCAGAAATGCTGCAATATTATAATCTGAGAAAAAAGATGAGTGTCTAATAGCTTTACAAACACCATCTCTGACTACAACACTGTGGCCATCAGAAATTGTCATAGAATTTATCAGTGACCAAATATTTTGGTGACTCCACCACATATAGTCTATTGCAAAAGGGAGAATGTACAAACAGTTTACTTCAAATTAAAACTACTGCACTTAAGTCTCCCTAATGGGGAAAAAAAACCCCAACAAATCAAACCAAACAACCATGGACTGGAACTGGAAAATCTTTTCCTATTGTAAAGCTCATATTCAACAAAAGAACACATGAAAGAAAGGTTGCTTATCTCCTGAAGGTCTACATACGTCAGCAGCTCTGATCTCTGGAATTCAACAGAGATTTAGTTTGATTGGGAACTGTTACTTCATTCAACACACAAAAGTTGTGTTTTTCAAAACCAAAATATTGTAAATGCTCAAAGGAAGTATGTTTTATGAAGTGCAATCTAATCATAATACCCATTAACCTCTCAGTGGCATCACTAATTTGAGAAGAATACACTGAAAAGGTGATTGGTACCTATGATAATCCTAGCATTCACTTTAAAAATGTGTAATTCATGCCCCTACTTTATAGAAATAAGAACTGTAGCTAGCGCAAAGAAAACAAAGAATAAATTACAAATCAAACTTAGTGAACTTCTCATACAGCTGACTCCCTTCTCATCATGGTAATGTGAGCCTGGAAAATAAAACTCAGTACTGCCATAAAAATACTTGTTACCCACCAAAACAGCAGCTTGTATGCTTGCCCAGCACACCACCATGGCATACCTTCAGAAGCCTTGTTATATATAGCAAAGCGACTGCAAAGAATAACTGCTGAAGTGTAGGCAGCAGCTTCTTTTTAAACCAATGCACTTTGCATTGAGAAGTAATTCAGATAGTCTTTTTCCTCCACAACAGTCACAGCTCTCCCCACGTGTCTGGCCGTCATGATGGAGCATTCCTGCTCCTGCTCCTGCCCCTGCCAAGTAATACATAAAGCCAACAGGAGAGACAGAATAACTCTTTGGATAGGTTAGGAAGAAAGGCTGCAGCCATCTCCTCCTTGACCAAGAGAGAAAGCTTCAATATTTAAGAGGAAAACATGCGAGATATGTTTCTTTGGAGAGTTGCCAGTTACAAAAACAAAAAAGTGAGGAAAAAAAATTTAAAAATGCAAAGCAGTTTTTCAATGCCTTTAATTTTGCATAAGAAACAGAGCCTTTGAATACAGCACTTTAAATCACAAAATCACAGAATAAGCCCAGTTGGAAGGGATGCACTATCCCCAAGAGTCACACCAAGAATCCTTAAACAAAGGTTGAGCTAAAGTGACAGTGAGGCTTCATATGATTTTACTAGTAGTTTCTATATAATAGAAAACACATACTTTTCTCATTTTAAAACACGTCTTATTTTTTCCACATCATGTAATAAAGTCTAATAGCTACAGAGAACTTAGTTATATACTGATAATTACATAATGAATGACATAGTTAAAAAAAAAGCCATTTGCCCTTATGACCATGTTAAGGTTTCAGGAATGGGATTCCAATCCTTACTACTTTGAGAATTAAAAAAAAAAAACCAATAGACTTTTGGAAAAAAAAATGTTAAATACAGATGAAAAGCAGAAAGAGGCCAAAAGCACTTGGACAAAGTTATTGAAAGGTCAACACTAATCAGATCCCTTGTCCCCTCCTGCCTAGAATTTTCTTCAAATGTGAAATTCTCAGTGCTGTTCCAAATCACTATTGCCTGTATTCTTATATTACTTTGGAGATGCAGCATGCATGAACCCAAATGGGTGGCATGTTATACATTTTAAAGCACTACATCAAAGTAAAAAGAGCTTATGCAAATAAAAATAGTTAAATCATCTCATCTCCCAACAAGGTAAATCTGCCTATATAGGAAGGCAGAAGAGCTACTGTGAAGCATAGCATATGTAGCCTGTTCATCAGCAGCTTGCACAAATGGTGCTCCAGATGTATAGCTGTTCAAGACAGCCCAAGGCAACAATTTTGATCAATTCTAATGTGATAAAATGCTGTAGGGAAAGTGCAGAAATGTGTTTACATCAGCCTTTAATTAAACTGTTGTTCGTTTCCAAAGAACTTTAGGAAACACTAATGAGACATGAGTTTTGGCAATTTCCGCATCAGAGCAAAGACCCTCTTCCTCAGTCTGAAGCATCGTGCCATCCAGGCAACTCCTGGATGAATGTCACCTTGGCACACCACTTGGCAAGGCCACCTGTTAGAAAAAGTCAGCTGGAACTGAGCAGTGATCTGGAGCAATCCACCTGCCTGTTTCTGGACAGATGACCTGTTTTCTAGCTCACCACCACAACATAGCAGCTTCGCTTTTTTTGCTGATGACACATGCTCATGAGTAGAGTTAAGAATCGATAAAGAAATATTAACTATCTTTTAATCCAGTTAATTCTTGAACTCTTCTTACTAGTATATTTTCTACTGCTTAGTTTCACAAGTCCTTTTTTACAAGAAAGACTTGCAAACAACAATCTGTAAAGATTTATTTTACAACTTATTAGTGTAGCATCATCTCCAGAGAAAACAAAATAAAACCATGTCCAATTTTATGTATCACCACAGCGAATGAGGAAAACTATGCAGTCTACAGCACCTCTGTCAAGCTATAAGAGGTACCTTTTCATGCTACAGTTTTAAATTAACTGATCCTTTCCCAGAGGCAGTAATTAGGATAATTTCTGGTGTCAGGACACACTACATGCATCACATCCAGCTGGGCCTCACTCTCCACTGCCTTCATCACATCTGGTAGGTATGTACGAAGCACACGTGAAAACTTGGGCAAAATTTTAAATTCACATTGTATAGCTGTATGATGATGAAGAATCATAACAATTCCCATGGTGCTCAGAAGAATCTGTTTTGCTTTACACTTGCGGATGTGAAAAAGGAGCACAGACACTCTGAACAGAGTCAACATCACCAATTTTCAAATAAACTCAATCTGATTTCCTTTAGCACTGTAAGCATTATGTATTTCTCAGCTGTGGGTCTTAATAAAGCACCTAACAATGAATACTG